CAGAAATGCTTGCCGAGGGCCGAGCCACACAGGGGGCATCCTGGGCTCCAGAAATGCTTGCCGAGGGCTGAATCAGACATGGAGTGGACAGACTCAGGTTGGGGCTGAGGTTTGTATGTCATCCTTCTTGCAACTCTAGAATTTGCCCACACAGTGACCTTGGGCCCCAAGCCTAGACTGGACTCTGAAAGAACCTTGCTTCTCTCCCCATGGCTTTCCCTCGAGGCAGCTGCAGGTCATTTCCCTTTTATTTGGCAGGCTCACGGTTTTGAAGAGACTCATGCGACCTTCCTTCAGACTGATTTGCTGAAGCTGCTGGTGAAAAAGTGCAGCAAAGGGACCGGTTTTAGTAAAACGTGGCTCCTCCGGGACCTGGAGGTAAGACGTGTGCCGCCTGCTGCAGGCTTCCCGCGCAGGAGTGAGACCCGTGGGTTAGCCGTACCGCCTCTGCCCCGGGCACGCTCGTTCTGTGCCGCCGTTGGAATCGTGTCTCAGATTGGTGTCCCCTGTTGGAAACAGGGGTTATGACACCTCTTCTTCCTGTCTGGGAGAGAATGAATTTGACGTTTGTTCGGAGAACACTGGAGGAGAAGTATTTTATGGAAACACATGGCTGACCATTACGTCACGGCCATAAAGTGTGTCTGTGAATTATTATTTTCCTTGAAGTTCCTTCGAGCTGAACTCTGCTTATATATAAACATAATGTGTTTATTCTATGTGGGACTTTAGTTGACAGTTTCCATCTTATCACCGTTCCCTCTGGGCCTCAGATTGGTCTTGGTGGAATTGCTCTGGTCTCTGAGTATGCCAGCCTCTGGTCCAGGAAAGGCTGCTGCTGTGCGGGGGGAGGTCAGCCAGCCTTGCTCCGGCACCCAGAGGCCTGAGCTCGAGGAGCCCGCTGTCCAGCACCGCGGGAGGGGTTGGTTCAGTTTCAGGAAGCGGTGCTGAAATACAGCAGTGGAAAACCTGGAGAGCATCTGGGCTCTCGTTCTGAGGAAAAACTAATAAATTGTAAATTAGATTTGCAGAAAATGTGAAATATAGAAAAGAAAGAAAAACTTCAAATTCCGCCCCACAAACACGGCCACTGTTAGTATTTTCTGTACTGCCTTATTCCAGTCATTTCCACCTGCGTCCCTGTCGCGTGTGTAGACGCAGATGGTACAGTGTGTGACCCTCAGACGCAGTGGGGGAGTGCGGTGGCCGCTTCCCTGAGTCACTAGGTGGTTTTCATGACCTCCGTCGTAACGGCTGCAAATGACACACGAAGGTGGATCTCAGCTTCATTGACTGTAACGTGCTTTCCGTTATTCCTAAAAGGAGAGTTACTGGCTGGGTCAAAGGCAGTAGACGTTACAGCTCTTTACATCTCGCCAAAACACGTCCTCACAGTGATCCCAACTTACGTTGTCAGCCGCAGAGGTCCCTCAGTTTTAGTTAGCATGTCTTTGATGATAGCAAAATGGAACATGTTTTCATGTGTTTTCTTTTGTTACTAATTTTACGTTCCCTTTGTGAATCCTTACATCTTTTAAAAAGGTCAAATATTTTCTACCATTTAAGGGTTAGAGATCTCACCCACTGAGCCCCCACACCCCTGCCCTGCATGGTCTTCTGTCTGTAGATCCTGTCCATCATGCTGTACTCCTCAAAGAAGGAGATTCACACCTTGGCCGAGAACACAGCCCTGGAGCAAGACGAGCGAGGGGACCAAGAAGAGGAGGTGGAAGGCACTGTCAGCAGCCCTGCTGAGCCGGAGCAGAAGAAGCTGGATCCCCTGGAAAGCCTGGATGAGCCCACCAGAATATGTTTCTTGGTGAGTTCTGGGGCCGTGGTGAATCTAAGGGATGGGTTGTCTTTGGCTTGCACCGTGTTTTTGCCTTCATGCAAAAATGCCTCAGTCTGACGTGCCGAGAAGTCGCTTCCTGAAGACTCAGTCTGAATTGTGCAGAATTGATCCAGAAGAACGGAAAAATCTTTACACCAGTCATTTTTAAGGTTTTGGGGCCTAAAAGCTTTAGATCATCTCTCCCATGACATAAGTACATGCAGTTTTGCTCATAATTTGCAGCCCTTCGATGCATGGTGTCCCCTCGTGGTTTCTGAGATGCATTCTCTTACGTTCCCTGGGGATACACTCTTCCTCGAATGGTGACTGCGGGTGACACAGTGACCTTGGGCCACAAGCCTAGACTGGGCTCTGAAAGAACCTTCATAGCCAGAGAGTATGGGGCGGGGATCAGAAAAGCAAGCACATCTCTGGACCGATGTGCCAGTTGTCGGAGTTGAGTGCGTGGCAGCTCCAGGCGGAGGGCACCGTGGTGGGTAGTAACTGTTGACTGTTAGCGTTGCATGCAGTGGTCTGCTATTTCCGTGCTTTATGTTTTCTGTGAATGTGTAATCCCAGAGCAGATTCTGCAGTCCGTGTTTTAGAGTTTATAATTTTATTTGCTCTAAGTGATCACACGATACTCAGAAATTACAACCTGTGGTGACTTTAGAAAATAATTGTTGTATCCCTTGAGTTCGTCTCTCTTGTGCTTCCTCCATGGCCTGCAGATGGCGCACGATGCGCTCAATGCCCCTCTGCACATCCTCCGGGCCATATACGAGTTGCAGATGAAAAGGACCGATTCTTTCTTCCTGGAGGTTCAGAAGAGGTGAGGACCCTGAGATGCAGCTGACGTGCAGCGAGTGGGAGAGCAAGGGAGGGCAGGGCCATGATTGCCTCCTGCCAGCAAGCTCGGGGTAAAAACTCCTGTGAGGCCGACTCGTGGACCTGGTTTTCAGTTCTTCATGCAGCGCTGTGAAAGCTGACCGCGCCGCACGGCCTGAGTCCTCTTGAGCTGTGCTGTGTGTCCCTCTGGGTGCAGACATTGGGGCAGATGCCAAGGTTTCTCCCATTCGTCGTCCTGGGGCAGACAGTGCCAACCAGGGCCTTCTGGTCAGAGTGTTGTTTGCACATTATCTTCATGGATTTCCCCAAGGGTTACCATAAAGTTAATAATACTCCCTTTCTCTTGGCCAGGAAGTTCAGCCTGGTTGTCTCCCAAATGTGTGTGGAACTTTACCTGTCGTAGCTAATCTCTCCCTCTGTCTGTCGTATCCTAGTTTTGACTTCTTATTCTAACTTACATTCAGTTCCAATTTAATTTTTCTTTTATGTTTTTATCTTCTATTTCTGCTTTCCTGTATTTCTTATATGTTGCCTCAGATCCTTTGTGAAATGAAGCAGGGCACAGTCTAACCTGCTGTAACTAAGAAACCCAGAAATACCGGGTCAAGGAAGATAGAATTTGTTTTTTCTCTCGTGGCAGTCCAGGGTGGGTAGGCAGCTCTGCTCTGTGAATGACCCTGTATCCCCAGGGGTATTGTTCTCCTGCGTGTTGTCACGTGGCTCCCCCATACCCACCTGTGTTCCAGCCCAGAGAGGGGGAAGGTAGAGAGAGGAGGGCATCCTCAACCCAGCTGCCTCCTGTGGGCGAGGACCTAGTTGCATCACCCCGTCTAGCCGAAGAGGGGCTGGGCACCCTGTTGCCAGCTGGGTGGTTGTGTACCTTGCTAAAGCTTCTGGGAACTTTGTTTCTGAGATCCCGAGGGACAGTTTGCATCCTCCGCCACCGGGGGTCGGTGCACATCTGTGTGCATGAGTAAATAAATGAGTGCTGTGAGTCTAGACTGCAGAATATGGGGGGCGATAACGTCATTGCAGAGTAACAGGACAGTAACTCGGATCGGTATTTCTGACAAGTTTCACTGCGGGCTGAACGCTTAGCTTTCTGTGATGTATGTACCCAGCCTTGTGCCTCTTCTCCCCAGGTTTGATGGGGACGAGCTCACCACGGATGAAAGGATTCGGACCCTGGCTCAGAGGTGGCAGCCCAGTAGGAGTCTGAGACTAGAGGAGCAGAGTGCCAAAGCCGTGGACACAGACATGATTATCTTACCGTGTTTGGTATGTTGCTTCCACCTTGGACACGAAATGTCTGCCCCTGGCCCCCAGCCCCCACCCAGTGGTGAGGGGGCAGGCCGCGGTAACGGTGGTCTTGGGTTTGCAGTCCCGGCCCGCACGCTGTGACCAGGCCACGGCTGAATCGAACCCTGTGACCCAGAAGCTCATCGCCAGCACGGAGAGTGAACTGCAGCAGAGCTACGCCAAGCAGCGACGTAGCAAGAGCGCCGCCCTCCTGCACAAGGAGCTGAACTGCAAGAGCAAGAGGGCTGTCCGAGAGTACCTGTTCCGCGTGAACGAGGCCACGGCCGTCCTGTACGCCCGCCACGTGCTGGCCTCCTTGCTCGCCGAGTGGCCTGGCCACGTGCCAGTGAGTGAGGACACCCTGGAGCTCAGTGGCCCGGCCCACATGACCTACATTTTGGACATGTTCATGCAGCTGGAAGAAAAGCACCAGTGGGAGAAGGTGATTGTTGAGCAGGCCAGGCTGGGCACTCGCCCCCTTTGTTCCTCGCCCCGCCCCCCCCCCCCAGCCATGTTTGAACCTGCTTCCTCTGGTGCGGGCCTCCCCGGCGGGAGGCCACCTGTGTGGGCGTGCGGCCCCACGACGGCTGTGGGTGCAGCAGCGGCTGGGTGGGGGCACAGCTGGGCTCTCTCAGGTCCTGGCCTGGAGCGGAGCTCCCAGCCTAGGGCAGACTTGGTGCGCAGAGGGCACCTGACAGCGCGATCCCATGGAGCCTGACTCTGCACTCGTCCTAGCCAGTCTCTTCCCGACTAGTGCCGAGCCCAGGGGACGTGGTGAATTACGGCTGATGGCCTGTCCCCGTGGCACTGTTTGGGGGGCGCTTGCACCTGTTCCCCTGTAACCAGGGAGAGTTCCGTCTTGAGGAAGTGCAGCCCGAGGCCCCGGCCTCTGGAAGGCAGGTGTGAGGTCTGCAGCTTAACCCCATGGTCCGGTTCTGAGTTTCCAGGCCCCTGGTTCTGTTCTTAAGTCAAATCTTCCACGTCGTCTTTGAGAGCAGGGCCAGGGTAGCGATTCCCAGGGTGAACGCACCCAGAGGAGCCGCACAGCAGAACACGGCCTGGTCTGGGCCGGGGGGAAGCCATGGATGCCTCCTCCAGCTGAGCTGGGAAGTTTTCTGACCACCTTCCAGCTTCCAAGTGCAAAAATCTTGAGTCACATTTACTGCCGCCGCCTTCATCCCTGTCCCCTTGGCACCCACACACACGGTGTACCCTCACCGCCCCATGTATGCCCTGCGGGGGGATTCCTCCGGAAGTGAGTTTATCTTCTCTTCCTTAAATTGCCTGTGTAAGAACACCGCTGGTTGCAGAGCCCCTAGATCTGTTCCCAGCCCCACAGTCTCGGAGGTGTTGGCAGCTTTGCCGTAGCCACTCCTCTCATGGAAGTGCCACAGGGGAGCACGGCCTCCCCCCATCCTTGCCCCACGGAGCCCCCAGTTCCACACCTCTTTGGCATGTGTCCCCTTGTACGGTCATTGTTTCTCTGTGCGTCCCTCCTCTGCTTGGCTCAGGACTCTGCAGGGCCCGGGACCACCTCTGATTGGTTCTCTTGGCTTTCTCAGAGCTCCCAGAAGTGGTGTTTTCAGGAAGGACCGAGGCGGAGGCGTCCCGGTCCACGGCAGGGCCCCCTCCCCGCCGCGGGAGGCGTCCCAGTCCACAGCAAGCCCCCCCACCCCACCCCCATGGGAGGCGGCTGGAAGAGTTGGCTTCAGGGGTGGGGCCAGGGGCCAGAGTGAAGCCAGCCCCTTTGGATGGGCCTTGGGTTGAAACAGACACGTCCTTTTTCCTGCCCCTGGTGGCTCTGACGCTCTCTGCCTCACATCCTGCCAGATCCTGCGGAAGGTGCTCCAGGGCTGCCGAGGGAGCATGCTGGGGACCATGGCCCTGGCTGCCTGCCAGTTCATGGAGGAGCCCGGGATGGAGGTGCAAGTCAGGGAGTCGAAACACCCATATAACAATAACACTAACTTTGAGGTACGTCCAGGGCACGTGGCTGGCAAGACCTACGAGAGCTGCTGAGAATCTCATCCCCTCTGGGCAGTCCTCCCTCTGTCTCCCCAAAGCCAGGGAGTCTCCACAGCCCAGGCTTCTGACCTTGTCTCAATAGGAAACAGTGGGCCCCTGGGCCTGGGGGGAGGCATTCGCTTCTCCTGCAACAAGGTCCTTTCAGCGAACCCCTGGCATCTTCGACACTGAGTCCGCGTGCGGGCCTGGGTTCAGCCCTGGCTGCACCGTCTCCTGATGATGTGGCCACACCGTGGAGACCCCTACCCTTTGTCTCAGTGCCCAGGCGCGTGCTCCCCGTCCTCCTTGTCTTAGGGTTGCAGGGCGTGGCCCGAGACAAGCCCTGGGGAATGACAGACGTGTCCTTGTGTCCCCTCCCCAGGATAAAGTCCACATCCCGGGTGCAGTCTACCTCTCCATCAAATTCGACTCGCAGTGCAGTACAGAGGAGGGCTGTGATGAGCTGGCCATGTCCAGCAGTGGTGACTTCCAGCAGGACCGACACACTTTCAGTGGGTCCCAGCAGAAATGGAAGGATTTTGAGCTCCCAGGTAGTAAATACATCCTCAGTCATCTAGACACTTCACATCGAGTATTGAAGTTCAGTACTGAGAAGAGGGATGTTGTGGCGGGGGTGCGGGGGGGGGGGCGCGTCACCCCGGGTTTAGCCTTTTTCATCAGGAGCCTGTCACTTGCCGTTCCCCGTTGTGCGGTGTCCTGAGCTGTTTCTGATTCTTGTGTGACCCAGGAGATACTCTGTACTACCGCTTCACCTCTGACATGAGCAACACGGAGTGGGGTTACAAGTTCACTGTGACGGCGGGACACCTGGGGCGATTCCAGACAGGTGTGTGCGCTACTCTTTCCGTCCGCAGGCTCTTCTGGCCAGGGACCCTCTGTGGATGCAGGGGCCACAGTGTCACTGATGTTTGTTAAAATCGAAGCAGCTGGGCGCCTGGGTGGCTCAGATGGTTAAGCGTCTGCCTTCG